AACAACAAAAAAAAGCAATGCCATTTCCTGGGAAAGAAGAAGTTAACGTAAGCTCCATAAGACTTTCAGAGAAAGTCATTTTGAGCCAGTTTAGGAACAGTGTCCTTTACAGGAACCAGGTAGCTCCAGAGCCTAAATCCTCCACCTGCAAAAACAACCGTTTGTTAGAGGGCCTTGGGTGCTAGGGGGGAAGGGATGCAGATTGGTAGGTCACATGGATTTGGTTACTTAGACAAGGATTGCATATTAAAGGAAAAGGTTGGGTGTCTCCCCTGTAATCGAATAAGGTGAGGGAAGGGGATTCTGTAACTAGGTGATCATTGCTCCCCATCTCCCCAGTCTTGGGAACAACCAAGGCTGTGAGTCAGCTCAGAGGAAGGGTCTTTAATCCCCCATCCTCTGCTGGCACCCTCTCGACATGGACTCAAAACTACAGGAACGGATCATAAGCCCTGTGCCTCGTTCTCAGGCTGTTCCAGACACAGCTAGTGCTCCCCCAGGCCACTCCCCTACTAATTCCTGGTGATCACAGAGGTGAATGAAAAATCAGCTCCCTGCCCTGTCATAGCTAAGCTTCTTGATCCTGAGGTTTATGATTATCAGATTTCCAGGAGCCAGCCAATGAGGTGGCGCCCAGGGCCTGCTCCACCTCTGGGGTGACAGAAACCCTGCACAGTTATCCTGGATGCCAGTCGGAGGCTGAAGGGAGAGGCCAGGCTGAGCTGACCTGGACACGAGGCTTTTGTGGTAACAGGTGAGAGGGCATGGGTGGAAGTACAGTGCGCTCTGAGTGTGGCCGGGGACCCCAGACCCTCCTCCTCTGATTCTCAAGGCTGGGCCATTTTAGGTGTTTGGCTCTTACGCCACCTCAAAAGCCTAAAAGTTTGCAGTCAAGGGGAAAGAAGCCTTTGCTGTATCCTGTGCTGTGGAACACAGGATTCTTCAACACATGATCCTTGGGAGAGGGACCAAAGAAAGAGTGGAGGATGTGTGCTCTGGCTGCTGCGTGGTGTCCCCGGTGTACCGAAGCTGAGAGGAGAGCCAGAAAAAAGGGAACGAGGGTGTAGAGGAGGGTACTTTATATACCAGAGCTTTGTGTATGTTATTTTCTTTAATCCTTAAAACAACATGGAAAGGCGTGTTTTGACTTTACCCTTTCTACAGATGAGGAAACAGGCTCAGAGATGTTAAGTGACATGCCCAAGGTCACACAGCTAGAAAACAATGGAGACTTGGTTAAATGCAGGTGTTTCTGACCCTCCATCTTCTCCCAGTGGCTGCTGCCTACTTCCTCTCAGACAGAAGCAGAAAGACACATCTTGAGCAGAGTATCTCTGGTTCCTAGGAGGTTGGGGGAATGTGCATTCTCACATGGCTTCCTTTCTCTTACAGAGGACTGCCAGAAAGGGGTGCAGGGACGCCTAGCTCTCTCTCACAGACCCGGAGATTCAGACACAGAAGTCTTCCATGGCTCCTTATCACATCCGCAAATACAGGGAGAGTGATCGCCAAAGGGTCCTGGACTTGTTCTCCCACGGAATGACCGAGCATGTCCCCAACACCTTCCGCCATATCCTGAAGTTGCCGAGAACCCAAGTTGTCTTGCTTGGGGTGCCCCTCGCCTTATTCCTGGGCTCTGGCTCCTGGCTCCTGGCCCTGGTGGCCAGCCTCGCCCTCCTGGCTGCCCTGAGGTTCCTTGCTAAAATCCTCTGGACCCAGTATGTGGACAACTGTTTGGACACAGACATGTCTGACATCACCAAAACCTACTTAAGCAAGCGTGGCTCCTGCTTCTGGGTGGCTGAGTCTGAGGGGCAGGTGGTGGGCATGGTGGGAGCTCTGCCAGCTGAGGAGCCCACCTTGAGGAAGAAGCAGGTGGAGCTGTTTCACCTGTCTGTGGCCTCGGAGTGCCGGGGTCAGGGGATAGCGAAAGCCCTGGTCAGGACGCTCCTCCAGTTTGCACGTGACCAGGGCTACAGTGAAGTCGTCCTTGCCACCAGCATGCTGCAGGTCTCCGCTCTGGCACTCTACCAGAGCATGGGCTTCCAGAAGAGGCACCAGTACTTCTATAAGTGGAGCTGGGCGCTAATCGCCATCAATCATTTCGAATTAATCTACCGGCTGCCGTCTGCTCAGGTCGCTCAGGCACTGCAAGAGAGAGGGGAGCTGTGACCTGTTTTCTGGTGGATTAACCAGGAGAGGATGGGCTCAGGCCCAGGGCTGGTGTGTGCAGCCCACGCAACCTTCTGAGCTAGCTCACCACCAGCACTCAGTGTCCTACACGTCGTATTGTGTTACCCAAGGCCACGATCTTGACCGTGTACCTCCATTCCAGTAGCTTTTCTACCTGGACTTGGTTGGGGTCCCCCTCAGTTCCTTCTCCCAGGCCATCTTCCTCCTCGATCTTGTTGCCTTGCATCTTCCCGTCTTGCTTCCCAGAGAACTATCACCCACCTACCCCTAAAACTATGCCCCCACTTCTAAGTTTTAAATTAAACTTCTGTGTGCCCTGAATTGTGTTCCGACTTGGACATTTAATGGGGCGACCTGTCCATCTCCCTGGCGGGAAGAGGGAAGGACCAACTTTGATATTTGCTCCCACCAACTCTCCTGGGCCCAGCCAGGTGGCCCTGCAGGAAGAGTTCGCACGTGGGCACCACTGGTGCCGGAGACAAGAGAGGCCCACAGTGCATCTCACGCTTCGAATGATTTAAGTAACAAGTCAATGGCTTTAGGAATTTCAGGCAGACATGGTCCATGCCGTCCATGGGCTTCCAGGCCAGAGGGGCTGAGAGACAGGAGGGGCAAGTGGGCATATGTTGTCCTGAGTGCGGGGGTGAGGGAGGTACTGGCACCGTGAAGGACGTCGAAAGGGCACCCAACCCGCTCCCTGGTCAGGGCTTCCCAGAGGGGCCAGGGCTCCTGCTCTGAACACTTGGAACCGGAGTGAGCTGGCCCGTCACCTGCTCCAAACCCTGCCCTCACTGCCACCCACACTGAGGTGCTGTAGTTCTTAATAAATGGAAGCTCTCTTTCTGCTTGAGGCCTTTGCGGGTGCCGTTTTCTCTGTGGAGTGTTCTCCTTGCACCTGTCCTCCACCCGTCCTCTCTGCTCATCTAACTCCTCCACTTCTCAGCTGAGTTGCGGGGATATTGGGCTCGGAAGGACACTTTCTGAGCACGGAGTTGTACACGGGGAAGGTACTAAATGCCACTGAATGGTAGGCGTTAAAGTAATTTATCTTCTGTGAAATTCATTTTCTAAGAAATGAGGGGAAAAAAGGAAGAGTGCGATGGTTCGAAAGCCCGAAAGAACATTCCAGAGGTTGGAGAGAGCAAAGATGTTGTAAGTGTTTATTGGGAGCGGAGCTGTTGTGCTGAGTCTTTTTATGTGAAAAGTGGGGAAGGGAGGAGGGGCCACCTTTGATCCCAAGCCGGCAGATAGGAGTGGCCTGAAGGGCACCTGGGACTTGGTGTGGGCAAGGACATTGACTATGAGGAATCTGAAAATGATAGTTGGCGCCTATGGGCCTGGAACTTTGGCAAAGATAAGACGTTACTGGTGTGTGTGTGTGTGTGTGTGTGTGTGTGTG